CTTGAAAACTGCAAGGACTCGTCCAAGCAGTCACTGCAGAGTCAGTAATGACTGAGCGCAGCTTAAAAAAAAAAAAATGCAATAGTACCAAATAATTGCATTAATTAACAAAACTCTTTCTATCCAATTTTCCACACAAAGCCAGGAACATTTTTCTTTTTCATTCCTTCAAACGCATTAAATAAGGTTGAGGGTAAAATATTCTGAGAGAGGGCTATGACATCAATATTATGTAACAGAATCTGTTACTATTGAAATTGCCATTTATTTATTTATAAATTAAGTAGCAAAGTTTACATACTGAAAAAATGGACTACTATATAGCAAAAGAAACAACCTTACTATAATCCCTATAGAAAATACTGTTGCTAATCCTGGGATATTTAAAATGCAATTACATAAGGAATACATGACTTTGTATAGTAATAGGGCCTAGCTTGGAAGCCACCCCTTGAGCCAGAACAACTGTTTCTAAATGCCTATGAGTCTGTACTCTCTTTCTTACTTCACCCCATGAGTATCTCTCCCAACAATGGGCTGTTTTTAAAATTGCTTACAGACCATATATTTCCTTAAATTTTACAAATGGTAAGTAAACTTCATAATCTTGATTCTGTTGTCCAAAATTTTTAACTATATAAATGTAATGTATAGATAGCACTCCTATAGGTCTCTTTGAAAATGTACAAATATTTTCCAGATCAGTTTAGCAATGCCACATCTCACACTTATATTACATACTAGCTCTATTCCCATGTCAAATCATTATTAACTTAAGACATTGTATGGATCTATACTGCAAAAGTAGCATTTACTTAATTCATATTTCATTATTTTTGTTCATGTAAATATATAGGCATAATGTACAAGTGCTGTCTATAGGAGCAACAATATCTCAGGATATGACAACCTATTAAATTGTCTTGAATAGTAAGAGTAGATATTTTCACAAACCTCTGACTCTTTTAAACAACTCCTCTAAAAATCACATATATCTACAACATGGTGGAAAGAGTAAATCTCACTTGGTTTGGAACCAATATACAGAGAAGGATTATTACTTTCCTTCTGCCTAGAAATTGAAATAATCCATACGCCTAGGACCTCCCAGCTTCCTTCTAGTGATATACAAAGTATTTAAAATCTGAATCATTTCAAACTCAAAACAATCCATTTCAAGTTCAGAACAGCTTGATGTTTTAAGCACAGAACACTCCCAGAATGTTTAGAACAGCATCAGAACACTTCCAGCAAAATTGGGATAACTCAACTTGAACTCAAACAATTTCAAATTTGGTTTGCACCCCTTGACTTCCTTCTGTCCTGCAAAGTATCACTTGATCACTAAATAGGGGTAGGAGATCCACAGTTCAGAAATGCAGGACCCAAGCATGTGATTAGTATTTTATTTTTATTGAATTATGGTTTAATACTGCATATAATTGTATGCATTTTAAAAAGGATATGTACAGTTCAGTAGAACAGGAGATATATACATTTGAAATTGAGGAATAAAATATTGCCTCAATTTTGCAAGCTATGGATTTAATATTAATTTAAGATAGCAAATAAATCTGCAGATATCATTTCACAAAGCATTTTCAAAGCATACAAGATTAAATCCACATATGCTGCTGAAATGAAGCACAGTAAAGCAGCACTGAGATAATCTACAGCTAAAATGATGGTGTATGATTTATGATTAAGCATCATTACCTGCAGAGCAAGGGGCTTCCATCTCATATTTTTCAGTAAAGCTGGTGCTGAGGTAAGCATGCTCTGAGGTCGCTTTTTCAAAGTTAAGATAACACCACTCGGATCCTCTCGTAGTGCATTCACCAAATTTTTCAACTGCCACCCCACCTGGTAACCAGCAAAATTATTACAATAAAGTTGAGATAAATTATTCACAGTGTAACCCTCCCCTTTTCATAAGATTAGTAAAATCATTAGTTTTTGCAGACGGCTGTTTACAATTTCACAGTTGACATCACTAAAGCATGCTGTTTAAAATCAGTATTATTGGAATGCATTAGAATGGGTTATCTGATATTTAAACTTAGAGAATGAATATATCACTGCTGCATACTGGGGGATTTATTCTTATTTTTATGTGGTATTTCAATAATTAGTTCAAAACTAGTTAGAGTTAAGCACTGGAACACTGCCAAAAAAATGTTAGGGCTAAAAATAAATAACTATCACCCTACAACTTAGTTAGCATTATTTTAGCTGCACATTCACACTTAATTATACTCTTAAATTAACCATGCTATTAATCCACCATTTCAATGGGCATTGTTATAAAATTAATCATAAAAATATTCTTTCAGACTGATCAAAAACCAAGAAAAAAACAAAAATCATTCTGACCTTGAAAAGTCTGTGTTTTTGTAATGAAAATCTAAATTTCAAATTGTTCAAAATTTATTGATAAATGTATACATATCAATCACTTAATTTTGTATATTGTAGTATTACAGATTCAGTATGGAAGTACAGAATTGCCAGAATTCATGGTAACTTTACAACAGCATCTAAGGCAGGTAAGGTCAGAACAAATGTTTTCTGAAAGAATACACTGATATGAAGCTGCTAACACTTCTGGAGCCATTGATATGAAGATATTTTAAAAAGTGATATGTGCTGGGCGGTCTTTGACGTACATATGACAACACACACATTCTGGGCTAGTTTCCCAATTGTTTCCTGCACTGTACACAAAGACAGTTGTGCAATAACCATACTCAACGTAATTTGCTATGAGATTTCAGAAATTCCAGACATAAAAATGCACTTATTTTTTGAAGTGGTGGGAAGGGGCTTTCTACATTGCTGATTTAGTGCTAAAATATCACTAGATAAGAAATGTTGAATAGATAATTCTATCTTACCTCTTTTAATGCATTCACAGTGGACAGTTTAAAAAATACAACTATGTAAAGTTCTGCCTTGAAATACCAAGGAATAAGCAAACTGTATTTAGAAAAGCTTATTGAATTCATTTTCCTTTATATACTGAAAACCCATCTTTAAAAATAACAGCAACAAAGGCTGTCACAGTATTACATCTGCTGATATAACAATTCTTCTTTTATTTGTCTACTAAAAATAGCATCTCATTATTTATATGTATATGGAATGTTCTTTAATATAATACAGAACATATTACTTTGCTTTCACATTCTTAAAGTTGCTGTCAACAATTCACTCCTGACATGTAAACTTTATGATCTGAGAAATACACAAACAGCTGCTCTAACCTTTACCGATACCAATAGCCCTCCAAGAGGTGACTAGACAAGGCAATGCACTTGCCCTTAGTTTCTACTTCAGCTTCCTGAAGTAAATACAAAATACTTTTTTAAACTTATAGTCAACTGGAATTTCAAAAGGTAATCATGAAATCAGTGAAATAACTATCATGGCTACAGTGAGGATCACTCATACTGTTTCCTATAGTGAATGAACACATATTCTTGAAAACTGTGGAATAAAGAACTATCTCCTAATATAAACCTGCATTTTCAGCATAGGAAAATCTTGAACAATGTTTCCTACTAATACTAAGCAAATATTTCTTAGGGTTAGTACAAATACACACACACACACACACACACACTTCTTCACTGTTCAAGGATCATTCATTCAATATTATTATTATTAATAATAATAATTGAATTATTCATTCAATAATCACAATTATTATATTTATACTTATGCAGGTGATTTAGGCAACTTACTTGTAGGAAATTTAAACAGGTTAGACATAACGTGTGGTACAATAAAACATTCAAAATTCTTCAGCAATATAACCCAAATTGTGGGACGGGAAAAGAATTATTGTTTGAGCTGCCTAGAATTGTTGAGAGTCAGGCAGCATACAAATATAAATAAATAATAGGAATAATAATAAATAACGAAACATAGTAAATACTTGTTTCTTTAGCAAAATGTATTCTACTTATTCTAGCTATGTTGTGAGACAGAAAAGAAACAGGAACTTGTTTCCAACTTTCTAATTTCTATGATATTACTAGGCTATGCTAGTCTCTGACCATAATAAAGATTTGATTTGATTACTAGGCATCAAACTTATTGCTAATAAGTTTTCAAATTTAAGCCTTAAAAATTAGACTTTTTAAATAAATCAAAGTGGATATTTAAGCACTTTGAATATAATATCTAAGGAATATGATTCAAAGGAAGCAAATGCATTGATTGCCTTATTATTTTTCTAGAACAAACAGCGCTTTCACATTTTGAAATACCTTGCCTTGCATATCCTTATACTCTTTTTGGATTCTACTACAATCTTATATGAAGATTGTGCCCAAGTACATCAAACTGTTTATTTATAAAGAACAATCCTCACTTTTTTGTCAAGCCTTTTCTGATTAATTCCTTGTCTGGTTCAGTATCTGATTTTAGATTTCACTCACCATTAGTTAAATATATTTTATCTTAGTGTATAATTTCTTCTACAAGAATACTATTTAGATTGTCCTATTGATTTCAGAATAAATATATTTAAGACAGTTGGTAAAAATAATCATAGTTCTACCTAATGTTTCTTAGCTGCTTCAATTTCTGCTGATAGCCAGAGTTAAGAGTAAGGTTTGTTGCTGAAGGTAGAAATTTCTCACAAAGCTTCACAATAAGAAGTGGATACAGCAAGAACAGCTACAGCACAATTAAAGTGAAGCACAAATACAATAATAGACTATCATGGAGAGTTACTCATATGGCACCTTAAGTACAAGAAGCCAGTCTTTCAGTCTCCGCCGCAGCACATTAACTCCAAGCTACTCCCAAATAGGCCTGTGCCAGATGCTTTCCTATAGCCAATCATCCTCTGCCTCCCTGCTTTCTCACTCTACACAGAAACAGCAGTCTTCCCATGATTTGGGTGTATGAGACTTGAATTGGTCAAAGAGTTGGTCCTGATATCTTCCTACTGCTGCTAAAACCAAAATATTCTCAATCTCCTTTTAAACTTTCTCAAATGAAAGTGACAAGCCAGGAGCATGTGACATAACATACACTGAATCAAACAAAATTGAGTTCACTTCAAAAATATTAGCCTTTTTATTTTGAAATAATTACGCAAATATTCATTTCAGAAGGTAAATTCCAGAAATGATCAGTTTCTCCTTCAATTATTTTTAAATTAATACATAATTAAAATAATAGTCAAATAATTAAAATAATAAAATAATATCAAATAAATAAAGTATATTTATTTTAGTGAGATCCTGCAAAAACACTGCTAAATGATATAAATTGAAGTAATTAATGGAAGGGATTATCAAACTTAATGATCTGAAGTCTTTAGATGAAGTCTTTAGATTTTAAAGATTTCATCAAAACCATCTGATTTTAAAAAAATTAAAAGTACTCAATTTGCAACATTAAAAGGCAATTTTGTGAATACCGTATTTTTCCGACTATAAAACGATACTTTTTTCTAAAATCCTTACGCTAAAAATTGAAGGGCGTCTTATTCAAGGAAGTCAGCTGAGAATCGCCCGGTTGCAAAACTGT